GCCCATTCGCTTATGTCATTGATGCTCGCTCTCTTCCATGTCTTACCTAGTCGCGGCTCTCGGGAACCGGTTCACGCACGCGAGCGCTTTTTTTTACACCTGTTTCTTGGTCTTTGATTTCCTTTTGTTCTGTCATGCTGATCTGATTGATGCCTCGGATAACGAATTCATGTTGATGTTGATGGTTGACGCCGACTCGGAAGCATGGGGAAGCACGTATTTTGCACATGTATATAGAGTACGCGCGACGAGGGATGGGGGAGGGGAGGAAGAAGAAAGGAAAGCTCGAACGAAAAGCATTGGCGGCGGCGGCGGCGCGCTTTCTTGGATGTATATACCCTGTATTTATTAGACGGACTGCTCTGCACTGCACTTCACTGTGCTGGGGCTAAGGGCAGCAGCAGCAAAACCATACCTACCACGTACTGTACTGTACTGTACACAGCATCATCATCGCGTGCACGCGCTCTGGTGGAGAGACACACCGCTCCTGGTTCCAGGCTCCCGGCTTTTCGCTTTTCGCTTTCGTAATAGCCGGTGCCGCATCCGGGGCCGGGGGTCTGGGGGTGACTGGGGGTGACTGGGGGTACGGGGGTACGGGGGACATGGGGGATGAGGCTCGAAGGTATGTACCTATGTACAATATTGTAGTAAGAGAGCGATGTAGGTCCTGCGTGTGTGGGTGAAGATAATCCGTAACTAGGCAGCTGAAACATGCAGACTCATCCAATCTCCTGCAGAAACGAACGACGTCGATGGGAAGCAGACGCAGACGACCTAGCCAGCCAATGGGCGCGCGGCGTCGGGAAACACATGCAGAGATTGGTTGTTTGGTGGGGTCCCCGCGTGGGGTGGGCTGGTCCTGGTGCAGTTGGTTGGGCGCCCGCGACTTGGTTTGCTCACGGGGCGGGATCGGCGGTTTGGCGAGAGCTTGCCTTGGAATTGGGCGGGATTTTTGGTTCAACTTCTTGGTTGTTGCGGCTTCCATTGCGGCTGTTGGCTACGTGGTCAGTAGGTGGTGGCTGCTGGTGGCGCCGATGCGGGATGCGGATCGTCAGGTCCGCGTGCTAGCTTGGTTCGACGACCGCGAACATGATTCCGTGCAGCACGACGCCTGGACTTCCTGCTGCGGTACTGTAACCCGTATGTACGAGTACAATAGCTAGGGCGAGACTCTCGACCGGCCGGCTTGCTTGCCCCACTCGCTCCCACTCTGCGGTCGGCTGCTACGGCGGTAGTTTTGCTGTGTGTCTGCTGCCGTTCGGCGTTCCACTGCCGCTGCCACTCCACTGCCGCTCCACGACCGCTGCGCTGCTGCTCCGCGCTCACGACTCATGGCGCGACAATGCTCCCCGTGGGGACGGGCGGCGCGCAAGCGGTTTCGGGCCTAGGGCGGCGGGCGAATGCGACGCTGGCATAGGCGTCGGTGCTGGTCCGGCGATGCGTCGGCGCGGAGAGACTGAAAGAGGTTCGGGTCGTTTCCTTTGTGGATGCTGAGTGATGAGTGATGATGCTGGGGTCTGGGGAGCGGGGACGGGGACGGGGACGGTGAGGGTTGCATCACTGTCTAGGCTAGGTTGCCTTGCCTTGCCTTGCTGCCGGTGCCTTTTGCCGCTGGATTCGCTGACTAGGTATTTTTTTCCCTGCTGCTGCTGTTTATTTTTCTTCTTCTACTTGCTCCCCTCTTTCCCTCCTGTTTTTTCACTCCTCCAGTCTCCCGTCTCCGTGTCGTCTTGTTGTTGCAGGTGGTGCTATCAAGCTATTTCCCTGTACCACGACCACCCGCCAGCCACAGCGCGGTCTAGATCACGCCGCCGCAGCAACACCACCTCCACCAACCACCAACCATCACGACGCGGGTCGGCCGAAACACTAGCACCGCCCGCAGACGAAACGGAAGCGCAATGCCTGCCGCCAATGAAGAGGCCGAGCGCCGCTCCATCGCGAGCCTTGACGACACGGCCAAGCCGCAGAACAATGTCCAGCAGCTCGAGATGGGCGTCAATGAGGAGACGCTGCGCCAGCACGAGCTGCAGGCCGAGCTGCAAGAGGCCCTGCGCAACTACACGCCTGGCACCGCCGCCGAGAAGAAGCTGCTGCGCAAGATTGACCTGCGCTTGATGCCTGTGCTGTGGATCATGTATATCCTCAACTATGTCGATCGCACCAACATTGTGAGTTTTGCTGCCGTGTCTACTGCGAGCATTTGCTGATGCTGTATTGCTTTCAGGGCAATGCCAAAACGGCCGGCATGGCTGATGCTCTCAACCTCGACGACCAGCGTAAGTCAATTGTGCCTCTTTCACTTCAATGTCCAATCTAACCCCGCCAGGCTACGCATGGGTCATCTCCATCTTCTTCTTCGGCTACCTGCTCTGCGAGGTCCCGTCCAACATGATCCTGTCGCGGACGAAGCCATCGTGGTTCCTCCCCGGCATCATGATCGTGTGGGGCGCCCTCAGCGCCGCCATGTCCGCCTCCAAGACGTACGGCGCCATGCTCGCCTTCCGCTTCATCGTCGGCTGCATCGAGTCGGGCTTCTTCCCCGGCGTGCTCTACCTGCTGAGCTGCTGGTACACGAGCGCGGAGCTAGGTGCGCACTCCCTCTTCTCATCTCCCTTGGCTCATGGCAGACGAACGCATCACTGACCCTTCGACCTGCAGGCAAGCGCTTCACCATCTTCTACACCGCGTCCACCCTCTCGGGCGCCTTTGGTGGGCTCCTCGCTGGCGCCATCACCGACCACCTGCACAACGCGCACGGCATCGCGGGGTGGCGCTGGCTGTTCATCGTCGAGGGCGTCGCGACGACGGGCGTAGCCATGATTGCCATCTTCATCCTGCCCGACTACCCAAGCACGACGGCGGCCCTCACTCTCGAAGAGCGCCAACTCGCCACCATCCGCCTGCTCGCCGACGGCTCCTCGTCCTCGTCCAACTCCTCCAAAGACGACGACTCCTCGGCCGCCCGCCTCTCCCACCGCGAGGCCTTCATGGCCGCCGTCGTCGACTACCGCACCTGGTACTTCCTGATCATGATCGTGCTCAACGTCGGCGCAGGCACAATCTCGTACTTCATCCCGACGCTGACCGAAACGCTCGGATACAAAGGCGCAACCGCGCAATACATGACAGTCCCCGTGTACATCGTCGCGGCGGTCATCGCCAACTGCGCCGCCTTCAGCGCCGACCGCCTGCACGAGCGCCGTCTGCACGTCGCGACCTTCTACGCGCTCGGCTGCGCCTGCGCCATCGTCTGCGCCGCCGTCACCCAGCCCATAGTCCGCTACGTCATGCTCTGCTTCACGGCCGCGGGCATCTGGACCGCGCTGCCCATCGCCCTCACCTGGATCAGCCAGACGATGGGCGCACCGGCCGAGAAACGCGCCATCGTGCTCGCGCTCGTCAATGCTTTCGGCAACCTCAGCTCGGTGTACGGCTCGCGCATCTGGCCCGATAGCGATGGGCCCAACTACCCTATTGGCTGGGGCGTGACGGCGGGGTTTTTGGGCGGCGCTACCGTCCTCGCTCTGCTTGCGCCCCTGGCGTTTAGAGCGCCGGTGAGACGCACCCCGGCCGAGTTGCGCATGGTCGAGGCGTTGGGGCAGGGGGGTGCTGCTGGTGAGGACAGGGGCGCGGTTGTGCGTGAGGGGGATGGAAACGGGGATGAAGAAGCTGCTGCGCCTGCTGCTGCTGCTGCTGTTGCTGCGGGGGTAGGGGCGAAGCTTTAGGCGTGCTGTGGGGTTGTTTGCTTGTTTGGTTGCTTAGACTGGGTACCCATCTCGTACAGTACAGTACGGATTACGAATATAATGACAATAACGACAATACCACCATCACCACCAACACTGATATCCCTATACCTATATCTCCACCCCACCCACATTCATACCCCCTCCCTCAAAGACCTCAACACAAACCACAAAAAACCACGAAACAAAACGAAAACACAGTACTCCGTAAACTCAAACAAATAACCCCTAAGTTCTAACACCTTACCCTAGAATGCTAGGCCTAGACTACTACTAATCCTTAGCTAGTATAAACCTAGTATTTCGCGGTTACTTGGTTTTATACTAAGGTAGGTTCACGTAGAGCGTACGTAGAGCGTGTGCAGAGTATCTAGTTTTAGTTTAGGGCCTGTATGCTTGCTTGCCCGGGACGTAGGATATAGGTAGGTTTCGACGAATTGATATTTTTAGTCTTTATATCTCTAGCTAACCTGCCTAGGTACTTAATCACCTCACGTATAGCCCATCTCGATCTCGTCTATCAGCGCAGCAGTATTCGTAACTATCTCCCTTACCGCGCCCACCACATGCCCATGCGTCTCCATCTCCTACACAGACAGCCGCTCCTTCCAAAACCACTGAACCCCTCCGCGCCCTGGGCGTCTACAGCTTGCCATCCTTGCCATAGCATAGCAGCTACCACACACATCACTTCCCCGCCCCATCACGCACCTTAACCCCGCACCCGACCCGGCCGACTGCCGCGGTAGATCTCTCTCTCTCTCTCTCTCTCTCTCTCTCTCTTCCGGCAAAGCGGATGCATTTCGCTACCGCCGGCAGCGTGGCCTCGATAGGTAAAGGCGAACTGCGCCGCATCGTCGACGCTGACCTCAAGCGTGTCCGCACTCAAGTACGCTTTAGTAGGTAGTCCCCTGGGAGCGCAACCCTGGGATATGAGCTCGCTCGCTCGCTCGCTCTTGCGCCGCGTCTCGTCTGAGCACTGCTGACGCCACTTGGCGGCATTGGGGCCGTTGGCCCCAGTCTGGCACGGCGCGGATGGTGCGTGCCGCCTAGGCCTTGGTCAGGATGATGCTTGACGCGACGCGTCCGTGATGCGGTAGGGCGTCTTTCTCGACGAGCGGTAGGTAGGCCGGCTTGGTGACGGGCGGGACAGGACGGGCGCGCTCGCGTTGTGTGCGCGGTAGTACTGTAAGTAAGTTGGGCAGGCTGCGGCCGCCGCTCCAGCCTTGCCAGAGCTATCAGCGACTCAATCGCCAACGACGACAGCCGCAAGAGAAGAACGTCGTAGCGGCGGCGGTGGCGGTGATAATGGTGAAAATGCATGCATGGAAGCAACAACCATCCCTCGCGACCGCGCCCTGCGCCCCCACACGGCCACCGCACAAGCCGCGCGCCGTGCACCATTTCCGCCCCGAAAACGAAACCCACAACGCGATCCTTCGTCGCGGCCCCCAAGCCGCAAGAGCGCAGGGCCAAGGGCGTGCGCGGGTCGCCCTCATGCTGGGCCCTCGCTTCGATTCTGCCTTCGGCTTCGAACTTCGAAAAGGCCGCGTCTGGTCGCGGGCCCCCGTGGTGCCTGGATAGCTTACCGTGGTAGGCACGCACTGCTGTTAGCGACCGAGAACGCGCTGATCGCGTGGGGGAGCGCGGATCCCTGCTGCTGCGGAGCCGGGGTGCTGGCTCTCTGTCGTCGTGGTTGGGATTGTTCGCCCCCTCTGTTGTTACTGCGCGTGTCGATGGGACTGAGACATGTTCATTTCCCGCGGCTTGGTCTGAGCATGCTGCTGCCGAGGGCCTGGTTGGCGGTGTGGTTGCGTTCGAGAATCGCGATTGAAGGTGCGTGGATGGTTGCTGTTTCGATTCACACTCTTTCTTTGGGAGACGAGGCCGTGGATGTCGAGCCCTAGGTGCCAGTATTCGACACGGCACCAAAGAATTGTTCTTACATTGTCAACGATGCGTCCTACAATATCTTCTTTTAGTCAAAGCTTTTTCGCCCTACACAGATTAGAAGAAACCCCACTTACAATTCCAACCGAAAGGATTCTCTCCCACAATACCGCCTCTACTGTATCTCGCCCGAGGGGGCCACAAGGCAAGCATGCTTGCGGGCCAAAGTTTCAACGGGGCTCGCACTGTCCTCGCTCTGGTGTTGGCAGCCCTCCCAGGTCCTAAAAATGGTCAGAGGATCGCGAGGATCGGCGCATGGGGGCCATCCGCGCACCACGACCCTCACCGAGGGCCACGAGGGCCACGAGGGCCATGAGGGCCATGAGGGCCGTTTCGATGTATATAAGACCACGAGGACAGACTCCAGAGCAGACCAGAACCAGAACAACAAACACTCTCACAGCTTCCGACTCCAGCCAAGGACTCGACACACTCTCTTCAAACCAACCACAAACAACCAGCCAACCGAACAACCAACCAAACCCAAACACTCCCTCACTTTTTTTTTTTACAATCTTCACAATGCACTTCAACAACTTCTTCGCTCTCATGCTCATCGGCGGCATCTCCGCCGTCACTGCCGCCCCGGCCCCGCCGGCGCCCACCACCAGCGGCCTTGAGCAGCGCGCCGTCGTCCCCACGCAGAGCAGCCAGCCCATCGAGTCCCACCTCAAGAGGCAGGAGGACACGACCGCCGACGACGGCAGCTACGACGACACCACCGGCACCACCGACGGCACCACCGACACCGGCAACTACTACCAAAACCCCTGGGAAGACCCCAACACCTACATCAACATGGCCCAGCTCTTTGTCGATGCCCATGGCAACATCGTCTCTTCCAAGGCTGAGGGCGCCCACCACCCCTCTGAGGCCGAGATCCAGACTCTCAGCCAGCAGCACCACACTGCCACGGCCGCCGCCGCGCACCACACCCCCGCCGCCACCCCCGCCCACGACAACACGGCCGCGGAGAAGAAGAAGCAGGAGGAGGCTGCGGCGGAGAAGAAGAAGCAGGAGGCCGCCGCCGCCGAGAAGAAGAAGGAGGAGGCCGCTGCTGCCGAGAAGAAGAAGGAAGAGGAGGCGGCCAAGAAGAAGGCCGAAGAGGAAGCTAAGAACAAGTGCAAGCGGGACCCCAAGGGCGGCAAGCACAGCGGCGGCAGCAGCAGCAGCCACAGCAGCGGCAGCTGCTAAGCGCGCCCTGCACGGCATCGCATGGCTTTACCTAGGGACGGGAACGCACTCTCCGCACCGGGTCCCGGTTGCCCTGCCCCGCCTCGCCTTGTCTCGGCACCGGCTCCGGCAGCGGCACCATCCACCAGGCGCTCCGCACCCCATACCTACCACTGCCGTGGAATTCTCGCGCCGATCTGATCTCGGCTCCTCGATTTAATATTCTCTCTCTTTGCTTTGCTTTCGATGGAGGACTTGTTCGGGTTTGGTTGTGGATCTTGGGGGTTGTTTATTCACTCGCTTGGTCTTTGGCTTTTTGGTTTTGGCTTTGGCTTTTTCCTGTTGCTTTAGAAGTAGTCTCTGGTCAAGTAATAGAATGCTTCGCTTATAACTCTTTTTTCGAAGTGGTTTGTGAGACTTGTGAAATGTGCTGAAGTTGGTGCTTCTTGTTGCAGATTTGTTACGTTTGATTGATACGTCTTCCATATGTTGAACCAGTGGGAATATGATAACGGTTGTTTTACTGTGAGATTGATTTACCGTTTCACCCCTAAATGCAGTGCTTGACTGCTGATATCAATCTTTTCGAAGTCGGTCCTGCGTCGTTGGAACCAAGGTCTAATCAATAGGTCGTGTCGCGTCCCTCCTCATCGTGCGGTCATAGAAACCCTAGACATACAACGTCAAGCATCAGGACGAAGTTCAATCCCCGCCGTATCGAGCTGGTGCCCGATAGGAGCACAGCGATTAGATAGCTTGGCGCCGCCACGATACGAGCACGTGGCTATTTCCGAGGCGTCTGCACAGCTACAAATCAGCAGACCCGCCATCATGCCCCCTACCTGCGTCTAGAACCATGCCGTATGCTAGATAGTCTCGACTTTCAAAGCGCAGTTGAAACGGATTAGCCAATCGAACGACCCGCAGGCCGCTGCAATGCGTATGCAGTGCCGAGGCGTATACCTTTCTGACGCAGTCTCTTCTCCCAACAAGGCAGTCGAGCCCGGCCACTCAGGAGACGCAGACGCAACAAACACGTCAACCGCGTAACCTCGGCCGAGGAACAGAGAAGCGCATTGCAGTTGCTGGAGCTGACGCAGGCGGCCAGGCCCGCCCCGACTGATCGGTGACAAAACGCAATGATGTGATTAGCTGCCTTGGGGAGCGGCGAAACTCGCGTGTCTCGGAGTGGGAGGGCGAGGGGCGAAGATCGTGCGAAGACGCGCAGGCTTGTCGCAGCGACAGTGGTGATGAGAGTCGTTGCGTGGGCGGTGGTGGTGTCGGTACGGCCCGCGCTCCGCTTCCGGGCATAGCGTAGGGCTTGGCCGCGTCGATTCGGTGCAGCACGCAACGCCCGCTGCGGATTGCACCAACAACGCGCACTCGGTAACCCCTCCTGATACCCCCTCCTCTTTCCCCCGTGCCCCCCTTCCTCTTTGCGCCGCCTACGGCTTCCTTTAAAGGCGCGGCATGCGCTCCGTATCGCCATGGGCCGCCACTATGTCGCAATGGCTCGTGAGGGTGCAAAGTACAGTGCGGTCGTGGTAGGCGGCGGGCCCGCCGGGATCACCATTGTGGGAAATCTGCTGGAGCAGCGTCTCCCGGGTCGCGTTCTTTGGGTCGATCCCCTGTTCAAGGCGGGCCGGGTCAACGCAAAGTACCGAGAAGTTCCGAGGCAAGTGCTCTCTAGTATGTCCCGGCCGCAAACGGAATCGCTGACTCGCTTCGCTGTAGTAACACCGCTGTCAAGCTGTTCATCCAGTTTGCAGAGGCCGTCAAGCCCTTCCGAGATGTCATTAAGTCGACGCCCGAGCCCAATGCCGTTTCGGTGCTCCGCCAGATGCGCCAGGATAAAGGGTGTGAACTCAGCAGGGCTGCCGACATGAACTTGATGCTTACCGAGGGGCTGTCCAAGACGGATGGCGTGCAGCAAACACTGGGCTACGTCAGTGCGGCTGTCTTCAACGAGGTACCTACCTCCCGCCGCTACACTCAGCCGCAACGCTGGCTGACCCGCTACCACAGCAAGCGAACCACTGGACTGTCGCCCTGGACCAAGGCCAGATCCCGGTGACAACCTCGAGGCTGATCCTCTGCACCGGTTCCAGCCCCATATCGTTTCCCCTGCCGATTCAGGAACGCATGCACGACCTCAACCTCGAGTCCGTCGACCTGGACACCTGCCTCGCTCCCTCGCTCCTCCCCAAAGCTCTTTCGCCGTCCGCCACCGTCGCCGTCATCGGCGCCTCGCACAGCGCCATCCTCGTGCTCCGAAACCTCTACAACCTCGCCCGCGACTCCCACCCCCAACTCCGCATCAAATGGTTCACGCGCAACCCCCTGCGCTACGCAGTGCCGATGGACGGGTGGATACTGAGGGACAACACGGGCCTGAAGGGTGAAGCGGCGGACTGGGCGCGCGAGAACCTCGAAGACAACGAGTTCGCCAACTCGCCCGTGAGCAAGTACATCCAGAAAGTGAGCATGACAAAGGGCGACGAGGACAGCGTGTACGAAAAGGAGCTTCCGGGCTGCACGCACATCGTCCAGGCCGTCGGGTACAAGCGGGACCCTATCCCCAAGCTATCCATCCGGGATGGCGTGGCGGGAGAGGAGCCGCTAAGCGTCGTTCACGAGCCGCTTTCGGGACGCTTCCTCCGCGCCGAAGAGGGTCCTAGCGCTTCCAAGGTGGACATGAGCCGTGCTGGCGGTAGAGACGCGCAGGCGTGGGTGCCTGGCCTCTTTGGCGCTGGTATCGCGTACCCGGAGCGTGTCACTGACCCCTACGGCAACGTCGAGTACGCCGTCGGCTTTTGGAAGTTTATGAGGTTTGCGAAGAGGGTTGTTCCGGAGTGGGTGCAAGGGCCTTGAGAGGGTACGAGTAGGTAGGTAGATCGGAAGCTTAGCCGTTGGGGTGGCACGTTCTGCGAGAATTTTTTTTTTTTTTTAATCTTTTCCTGACAGCCTATCCCTATAGTTAGATGTTGATGGTCTGTAGTAGCATAGCAGGGGCGTTTTTTGTTTCTCCGCGAGAGAACAGTTAGTATATAGATAGTTCCAGAGGAGATACATTTAGATATCCCGGCGTTCTGGCGTAGGAATTTATCTTTTCAGCAAAACCCCAGACGCATAAAAACGGCATGACGTCATGCGGGGATGGGCCGGTGAATCGCGGGACCCTTAATTTCGACTTCATCTCCTGAAAGTGCTTGCGTGGTTTTGTTGAAGAGGGCCTCGATCGCTAGTATGCAGAGGTAGTTATCCACGGCAGCAAGAGACCCTCTCCGGCTTCGGCTCACCCGCGGCCGCCTTGCCCCTTCGCCCTGCAGGGCTGTGTTGACCTCGGCGCTCGTGCCAGCATTTAGCCGCTGCTTGTTGCATCATTGTTTCTTCGACGCCGTGGCATCGGAACGCTCACTCTGGGATCGGATCAGGCACCGACCGACGCATGGAGATGAGTCTGTCTACCTGCAATGCAATGCAATAATCAGGTGCTGCTGCACCACGAGATGATGATGGGGATAATGAAAGATCCGTCTCCTACACGACGTGGCGGCCTTGTCCCGAAAGGCCAGAGGCCAGAACTCTCTCTCCAGGCCTGGTCGGCGAATGAAACAGGCCCAAAGTCAGACCACTTGGGCTAAAGACGGGCAGGGGGGGACCGTGCAGGGGCTTGCTTTGGGCTGCTTCGGCTTGCTTCGGTAGTGCTCGGACCAGGGGATCAAAGGCCGATGCCCGTCCTACTGGAAGTACACTTTCCGTCCCTCCCCCACTGTTCATTCTCCCTTTCTTCCTTCACCTTCTCTGCCATCTGACTCAGACATTTATAGGCACCTTTCCTTTGCGCCTTTTTTTTCTCTTTTCCTTTCCTTCTGACCTCTTCTTTTTCTCTTTTCTCTCTCCCCGCCACTCTTTTGCGCGCGCTTGCTCGCTCCGTCCGTGTTCTGCCGCCGCCGCTGTTTGACTTCTCTTCTCGCTCGTGTTTCTCTCTCTGTGCCCATCATGCCTCTCGGACCGACCGCCCGCTTGGTGAGTACCTACCTTCCCGCCGGCTCTCGGCGAGCGAGAAAAGCGCCCCAGCTAACCCGCACACGCGCAGTGGCTGCCCTACCTCAACTTCACCGTCGCCATCAGCGCGCTGGGCTTCCAGACCGGCGTCCTGTACCCGTGGCACGAGGAGCTGGACCGCGAGTTCAAGCTGCTCAAGCAGGAGCACAAGCAGCAGCTGCAGATCTACCACGAGGTCAAGCTGCGCAAGCTCGAGGAGCTGGAGCGCCGCGTCGGCGCCAACGAGCAGTGGGAGCGTCGCCACGAGTGGAAGTCTTGGTGGCCGTTTGGCGGCGCTGCTGCTGCTACTGCCCGCCAGGCTTAAACGAATCGACTCGACCCCCATCTTGCGAGACATGCATACCTGCCTACCTACCTACCTCTTTCCTCGCCGTTTGTTAAGGCCGTTGCTCCGATCGTGCATAATTCAACTACGAATGCATTCGAGCCGATCGAGTCGCACACTCTCAATCCGGTCTACGACAATATTACGCCCGCGGCGCCGCTACCTACCCACCTACCCATCACTCGCACCGCTCTCGATCGGGCAATCGGCCGCAACGACTCAATGGGCCGAGAAGAGCCTGCCAGACAGACAAACAGACAAACAGACAGACAGACGTTAGAACACCGCGCAAGCATTAAACATCGGAGTCATAGAGCCCTAGAGCATTGCGATACCCCTGGACTTTATTGGCTGTTTATTTCCTTTTTTCCTTTTTTCTCGGGGGAGTTCGTTGGTGCGTACATCATCATCATCATCATCATCATCATCATCAATCAATCAAGCAAGCATATAATCATTTCACACTGCATGCATTACTGCGTGTTGTGCTTTTGCTCGGTTCTGGGGTGTTTGAGCCGCATTCTTCTACTGCTGCTGCTGCTGCTCGATCGCATTTACATGCTGCGCGGGGCGGTCGTGTGCGCCTTGCGTTGCACATGCCCATGTAAACTTTACGACGAATGGCACGCGACCTCTGGGCGCGCGTCCAGCTGTTCCACCAGCTTCACTAGAATCACCACCACAACCTCCGCGGACTCCCGCGACTTGCAGCGCCGGTATCGGACCTCTGGCTGGTGCGGCCCAGTCCAGCTCACCTCCTATTGTACCACCAGCGTAGCTATCGCATCGAACAGCCCTTTACCGACCCACTCGCGCAAAGCACGTCGCGCGTCCTCGTAAGACGGTAGCGTGGCCTCCATGCTGTAGGTACCTAGGTAGGCAGACGGGAAGCGGAACAGCGCACGGCCCGGTCGGCGTCCGCGCTGCCATGCCGTGGACGTACGTACGGATCCGTACATGGGTAGTAGAGCAGTTTGCTTGCTTGCTTGCTCGGTCGCGACAGCGTCCGCATCCGAGCACCCTGATGTCTCGTCTCCGCCCTTGCTTCCCTACCTACCCATGTACCTATAAACAGACACGTCGGTCGCTGGTCGCTGGTTGTTGGTTGCTGGCGCGGCAATATAGCGACTGCGCTAGGTGGGTGGTGCGCTGTGTATGTTTGTGGCTGCCGTGTCGGTAATGGGCGGCTGGTGAGTCTGGTCTTTTGTCTTTTGTCTTCGGCGATGCTGGTGGGCGGCTGATGGCGGCCAAGACTTCCTTCACCATTTCACGGCGGGAGCGAAACAGCTGCTCAATAAGAGACTTGACTACCTACAGTAGGTAAGCCAAGTCGCGTTTGCGCAGGAACCGGCAGATGGACACCTCCCATTGCTGGAAATAGTAGGTAAACAGCGGCCTGCCTCTAGGGTGACTATCGATTTGTCCACGCGCACCCGCACCTCGGCTAAGTAGTTCGCCATGGCGCCATGGCAGGGAAGCGATTTGTTATCGTGTTATCGTGATAATGTGCAGGGAAGTAAGTGGCTTTGGCTGCGGCACCTTCCTTTGCGGACGGTTTGTCGGTGTTTTTCTTTTTCCTTTATTTTTTCTTGTTTCTTGCTCGCACATGGCAAAGACAGCGATGAATCACTCACGCACGAATGCAACCGCCCAATCTCCACAAGAAACAATCACATCACCATCACCGTCACTAACTATCGAATATTGCAACATCAGCAAAGCGAAAAAAAAAACAAAAAAGCCCCGTCACCCCGCCCCGGCACCACAATTCGCACACATGCCACGCTATTTGCTGTTGCTATCAATGAACCGAGCTTCAGCGAGCCCGTCCTACCTCTCCCGGCCTAGCGCCCTGCGTTACCTGCCTCTCTGGGCGTAGCGCCCCTCGCACCGCGCATACCCGACCTGCAGCTGTCATACCAGCAGGAACGAACGTGCGAATCTGCGTCTGCGTCTGCGCCTCAGAGCCGCAGGCTTAAATACGCCGCCCGCTCGCTCCTGCTGTTGTTGCTGGAAGCGGCTTCGAGCGTGCTTCTTGTGTGTGCTTGCCCGAGTGTCAGTGTGCGTGTGTGCTGCCTACTGTCACTTCCGCTCCTCTTCGTCTTCTCTCCGCCACAATGAGGCTCTCGACCCTCGCCCTCGCCTTCTCGGCCGCCCTCGCCTCCCTCGTCTCCGCTGCTCCTCCGTCCTTCGCCCCCGCCTCCGCCGCCGACGCAGACTCCAAGCCCACCCTCCCCCGCGCAAACGTCTTCGAGCGCGCCGATGCCGTCAAGCGCGCTTTCGTCGAGAAGCGCCGCGCTGGCCAGCCGTTCCAGAATCAGCGCTTGCAGCGTCGCGCTAGTGCGTACTTGAACGATAAGTCCCAGAGTGAGTATCCCGCGGTTCTTGCTGCCTTGTAGACCGCTTTGTTGTTGTTTTTGCTAATGCAGTCCTGTGCCGCTAGAGTTCGTGGTCAATGGCTCTGCGCTCCCAGAGGTCGACTTCGACATCGGCGAGTCGTATGCCGGCTTGCTGCCGATTTCGGGGGACAAGAACGAGACGAGAGAGCTGTTTTTCTGGTTTTTCCCGTCGACAAACCCGCTGGCGAAGGATGAGCTCGCGATCTGGTGAGTTGTTGTACCAAGCACCGTGTGCGACATTGCTGCCGTGGCGTGAAAGAACTGCGAACGCCTTGGCGCTACGCTGTGTGCGCTTGGCTGCTGGGCGCCAATATATGCTGACATGCGATTCTTCTTGTAGGCTCAATGGCGGCCCTGGCTGCAGCTCACTCAGTGGCTTGCTCACGGAAAATGGCCCGTTCACTTGGATGTCGGGCACGCTGGCGCCGACGCAGAATCCTTACACCTGGGTGAACTTGACCAATATGCTTTGGGTCGAGCAGCCTGTCGGTGTCGGCTTCAGCAAGGTATGGTTGATCTTCTAAGCTCGGAAGGGGAAGTTGCTAATGCCGTCTAGGGTACCCCGGATATTACGGACGAGTTGGGCATGGCCAAGGAGTTCCTCGGTTTTTATAAGCAGTTTGTTGATACCTTTGAGCTTCATGGCAATAAGGTTTACGTCACGGGAGAGAGTTACGCTGGTAAGACTCACCACGCTCTGGTGTTTGCATTCCCCTTGTTGGATATTAAGGATTAACGAGTTACGCAGGTTACTACGTTCCTTACATTGCGGATGCCATGATTCAAGCCAACGACAAGGATTACTACAACCTTGCTGGTATTGCTATTAACGATCCTATCATTGGAGAGTAAGTCTACCCATCCATTACGGAGACTCATATGACTTACACGTACCTCTTCAGCGACATCTTGCAGCAAGAAGTCGTAATCGCGCCGTACGTGCACTACTGGAAGAACCTGTTTAACCTGAACGATACCTTCCTGGAGGAGATGGACAAGAGAGCAGACTCTTTCAACTTCACCACGTACCTTGACAACTACCTGACTTTCCCTCCGCCGCAAGAGCCATTCCCGAATATAAAGGGTAGCATGTTCGAGTACGTGTACTCGGCCGCGCTTGACATCAACCCGTGCTTCAACATTTACGTAAGTGCTCCGGACGACGCGATTATCAGTACCTATTAACAAGCGCTCAGCACATCACCGACACGTGCCCGCACCTGTACTCGGTCATGGGCATAGTCAACCAAGGCGACTACAGCCCCCCAGGCCAAGAAGTCTACTTTGCGCGCGAAGACGTCCAAGCAGCCATCAACGCACCCATCATCGGCAAGGCCTGGGAGCAGTGCAGCAGCAGGTCCGTCTTCCCCGGCGGCGACCAGTCGCTGGGCCCCGCCGTCGACGGAACCCTCCAGCGCGTCATTGAGCATACGAACAACACCATTGTCGGCGTCGGCGACCTCGACTTCATCCTGCCGACCAACGGCTCCCTGCTGGCCCTGCAGAACACGACCTGGAACGGCTTGCAGGGCTTGCAGGAATTCCCGTCAAAGCCGTTCTTCGTCCCTTTCCACCCCGAGTACAATGGCGGCTCGCTGTCTGAGGCGGGCACCGTGGGCAGGTGGGGCGCAGAGCGTGGTCTCACTTTTTACTCGGTCCAGTTGGCCGGCCATGAGCTTCCGGGCTATACCCCTGGTGCTGGGTACAGGTCTATCGAGCTCCTTCTTGGTCGCATCAAGGACTTGAGCTCCGACGAACCGTTCTCGACGCAGAAGAACGTCGTCTCTGAAGCGAGCGGTAATGAGCGGCCTTAGGAGTGAGTTTTTGGTTGTAGCATGTAATCGGCCTCACTGCCTAGAATTGATCTGCGCCTGTTTTGCACTGCGTGAGCGTACCCGCCCGTATGTAGGAAAATAGATCATGCTACCATATAAAGCACGCCGTTCTATCCAGAGCGCCTCGAGAATTAGACTTACATACATACCACCACCACCACCTCTTAGACCAACGAAGCCGCCTTCTTCTTCAGCTTCAACAGCGCCAACAACACCTCGTCGCGCTCCTTTTGCACCTCATCGGCATCCAGCTTCTCCATCCACTTCCCGACCTCCCCACTCACGGCTCCCAAATCCTCCTTGCTCCAGCCGAACTGGTGCTCGCGCATGTCAGCCTCCCACGCCGCCATCCCCGGGCCAATATGCTCGAGCAAATGGCGGAAGCCGTCCATGCCGCCCCCGCCGCCCAGCGCATTCGTCATCAACGGCCCTGTCAGCGCCCAGCGCAGGCCCAAGCCCGTCGTCATGGCCGCGTCCAAATCGGCCGGCGAAACCACGCCTCGCTGCACGAGGCTGTACGCCTCGGAGCACACGGCCACCTGCAGCCGGTTCGCGACGAAGCCGGGCGTCTCGGCGCGCACGTGGATGGGCCGCTTGCCGAGCGAGCGGTAGAAGTCCATGGCCCGCTCTACGGCGGCGGGGGAGGTTGACGCGTGCGGCACGACTTCTACCAATGGGATCAGGTGCGGCGGGTTGAAGGGGTGGCCGATCAACACCCGTGACGGCATGTGCGTGCAGTCGGTGATGAACTGCGATGACGGGATTCCAGACGACGACGACGCGATGACGATGTCGGCGCGCGCGCGCGCGTCCAGCTTGGCGAAGATGGCGCGCTTGATGGCGACGTTTTCGGGGCCGTTCTTTTGTCGTGCGCAAACAGGAAAGTCTTAGCAAGCAGTTTCTTCTTCTTCTTCGACTTCAACGCACGCAATCAAGCAACCAAGCAATCAGTCACGCATCGGGCACCCACCTCCTGCACAAAGTCGACCTTGTCCAAGTGGTCGGCCACGTCGTCGACGAACTCGTACGAGCTGGGCGCCGCGGAGCCGGCTAGCCCTTGCGCCTCCACCGCGCTCCAGTGCTTCTGCAGGAACGCGTCCAGCCGCGCTTTTGCGCCCGGTGCTGGGTCCGAGACGATGACGAAGAGGCCCCGCGACAGGAACAGCGCGATCCAGCTGGCGCCGATGACGCCCGTGCCGATTACCCCGACCGTCTTGATCGGGCTTGTGGTTGTTGGCATCGTAGTTGCTGTGGAGGGGGTTGGCGTTTCTTTAGCTGTTTAGTTGTTTGGTTGGTGGTTGTGGTGTTTGATGTTTGATGTTGTTTGATAGGTAGGTACCGGCGGGGTTACATATGTGATGGGCGCTCTGGCTGCTTAAATCGGCCACGCTGACTGTAGTGGGTCGGCTGCGCTTGGGCCAAATGCGGTAATGACCGAGGCTGCCAGGTTCATTAATCAATCATGACGTACCGAGTGAGTTGCGCTACTCTGCTACCCGGACTTTTAACTACTTTTACTTCTCTTGATACGTCTCAAACATGCGCGCCAGCTCAAAGAAACTCGCCTTGTAGTGCCGCTGCTGCGTCGTCCGGTTCACGTACTGCAGCCCAAACTGCACATTGAACCCCGCCGTCCACTCCAAGTTATCGAAGACGCTCCACGCAAGACAGCCGACGACGTTGACGCCCTCGCTCAGCGCTATCAGCACCGCTTCCAGGTAGTCGTGGAAGTAGGTCGTCCGGCCCAAGTCCGCCCTAATATCCCCAAGCAGCCATTTCCGCGCCTCGTACGGCTCCGTGAAGCCGAATTCCGTGACCGCGATCCCGCCCGCCGGATGCCAGGTATCCTGGATGTAGTGCAAGAACTGCGGAATCCAGTCCGTCGCCTTGTGCAGCCACGCCGTGTACGGATCGGCCGCAGGCCCAATGTTCCAGCCGCCGTCCTCGTCCGCATACGTAAATGTCGAGTCCGCGCACGTCGGGAACAGCGCGTGCGACTCGTTCGTCACGCACGCGTCGATCCCCCCCGACGGCGCCATGTACATCTTGGCCGCGTAGGCGTCGTGCGCGAAGAAGTCCGTCGAGTTCTGTATCTGTGCTTTCTCTTCCGCTGTCAGCTCCCGCAGGAACGTCCCCACGTACTCTTTCAGGTACCGCGGGTATTCGCCGTCCACGTAGATCGGGTTCGCGAACCACCCTTCGTTGAAGTCCCAGGCTCGCTGCACGGCCTTGGCGTCCTCGGTGCTGTTTGTTCGCGCGACTTTGTAGTACCCGTTGTTCTTTAGCGAGATAGGGCCGGTGATGTTGAGCGATTTGGCGAGATGGTACACTTTGGAGTGCGCGAGCAGGGCGTGCTGCCCGCAGAAGTAGGGCTGTTGCTTTTTGGGGATCGTGACGTTTTTGAAGTAGTGCTCTGGCATTTGCAGCGTGCTGATGGGTTAGCGCGCTGTGTGCTTGGACGTAATGTTGCCGCTGCTTGCTTACCAGAAGCTGATCGGCTCGTTCAGTGTGTACCACATGGGCACTTTGTTGCCGTAGCGGGTTAGGATGATTCGAGCGTATTCGACAAAGTCGTCCACGATCTCTTCGCTGGTCCATCCTCCTTTGTTACGTGTCAGTGGTTGCTATAAAGAGGTAAGTGAGCATCGTGTTTACCGTAAAGATTATAGAGATACAGTGGTAAGTCCCAGTGAAACCTATTTAGTTCATCAGCAAAATGTCAAGAGTGTTTAGTTGCACACGAAAGATACTTACAGCGTCACAGCTGGCTTCACACCGTACTCAAGACACGTATTGATAACGTCTTCATAATGAGCCAGGCCGTCCTCATTAACCGGACCCCGTCCAAACGGCAAAATCCGACTCCAAGAAATCGAAAACGAATAGTACGGCACACGCAACGCAGCAAGCCTAGCAATATCTGCGCTCGGGATCAGCGAGCATATGTCCAACAAAACGCACAGAAACCCTTACCCTGCTTATAGTAGTAATAATGATTGGCCGTAACATCCCCCGTCTCGTTCGCCATACTATACCCCTCGACGCGATGCAGCAGCGCGTCCCACACCGATGGCCCTCGCCCCTCGTCCTTCACCGCCCCCTCGACCTGGTACGACGCGCCCGCCACGCCCCACCAGAAGGCCCGCGGGAAGCGCCAGCTCGCGTTCGCGTGGACGGCGGGGCTCTGCGGCCCGCGCATCCACGACGCGTAGTGCTGGGGCGGCGGCGGGATGAGCTCGGCGCTGGCGACTGCTGTGGGGGAGACGGTCGTGTTCACGGCGGCCATGGACACGGCGCCTATCCACATGTTCCACATGTCTGCGGTGCGTGAGTGCGGTTGTGTCTCCGTGGGGTTTGAGGGCTTGGGGCAGCCGCACCTTCCACGCTGATGTCCATGCGAGTTGTTGTCTGCGAGAGGCTTGGGGTTGTTGCCGACCCGGAGGCCGTTGTCGAGCTTTGAGCGAGGCTCTGCATTGCGCAGCAGAGTAACAGTATTGGCGTGCTTTTCATGGTGCTGGACCGTATCAGAAGGAACTTGTTCGTGAAGCCTAGGTAGAAATAATAAGAATTGTGATGCACAATTGATTGCTATTTTATAATCCTCTTTTACCCGGATTACCCACGGAACCACCATTGTCCTGTTGCGGGGTGCTTGATGCACTGCGACAAATATCGTTCGTTGCTTGGCCAAGTAGTAGGTTTGTAGATCTTCCCCGCCGTGGACTGGGGTGCTTGCGGGGTACTGAAGTACTATGATCTCAGCCTTGCAGACGGGTTGATTGTTCCCGGGAAATAAGGCTTAATTGGGATTTGCAAATGATTTTTTGGGGCGAAGCTAGGCTAGTTACCACGGCGTATGTTGATGTTGAGGTAATTTCTGCAGTGTCGGGCATCCGGGTAGTGAGGAGGGGGTCTGAACATGATGCCGACAATTATTAACGACTTATGTACAACTTGTTTCTGTTGAATATTGAATGTCTTCCTTCAACTCTCCTGCGAATCTAATCTATGTACGAAACACAAACTGTACGAAACCGCTCTACTCTATCTCGCGTACCACGCTTCTAGCGTTGCTTAGTTCTTAGCCGCCTCGACGAGAAACTCAGAAGAAAACGGATAGTCGATGTAGCCGGGCTCCAACGGCCTCTCCTTCAGGCGGTAGAACGTTGTCCTGTCATACGCGTTCGGCTTAATGCCCTTGCGCATGCGGTACACCAGGTCGGGAGTCGAAATGAAGAGACGTCCGAACACGATAGCAATGTTGTAATCGGAATACTCGGCAACCGCCTGCTTCGCGGACTCGGGCTTGAATCCTCCAGCAAGCAGAATTGGCTTCTGCTTTCCCCAAGCTTCCAGTGCAAAGTCGAGAGTTTCGGCGGCATTGTCGTTCTCTACGTTGCCAGAAATGCGAGACTCGACCAGATGGATGTATGCGATGCCGATGTTGCGGAGCGCCGTGATCACAGTGGTGAACTGCGGCACTGGGTCCTCCATGCGCATGCTTTGGAATGTGCTGAAGGGGCTCAGACGCATTCCAACCCTCTCGGGGCCGACGGCTTTTTTAACGGCCTTTGCGATTTCAATGGCAAAACGGGCGCGGTTCTCAACACTGCCGCCCCATTTGTCGGTGCGCTTGTTGGAAACATCCTGGATGAACTGGTCGATGAGATATCTGCATACGAGTTAGTAAAAATTGCATGTAGCGGTGATAAATTGTCAGTGAGTCAGTGACATACCCATTGGCGCCATGGATTTCGACACCATCAAAGCCAGCTCTTTCGACAGCATTCTTAGCAGCCCTTGCATAGTCCTCCACATAGCCCCAGATGTCGTCTTCGTTCAAAGGCCTCGGCTTCGGCAGGCCCTCTTGCATGGGGATGTCGCTGGCGCTCACAATGTCCGTGAAGTTCTCCTCGTACAGCGCACCGCCGGAGGCACCGCCGATCCCCGGCTCGGCTGCACGCCCGAGAGCCCAAAGCTGCACCCAGATCTTGCTGCCCTTGGCATGCACGGCGTCCGTCACCTTCTTCCATGCATCGAGCTGTTCCGCCGTCCACAGCCCCGGAATGTTGGCGTAGCCTGCCGAGCGCGGGCTAATAAACGTCGCTTCTGAGAGGAGAAGAGTTCCGGGCTCGGAAGCGCGCTGTGCATAATATTGGACCATGGGCTCAGTGGGGACGTGGTTGTCATCTGCCCGGAAACGCGTAAGGGGCGCCATGACGACGCGGTGTTGGAGTCGGGAGGACCCAACAGTGATGGGTTCGAACAAACGCTGCGAGCTGATCATGTTGTTGCATGTAATTATGGTCGCTGAGATGGTCGTTGCGATCGATGAATGTGGTTTGGATTCCTGTTGCTCTGTCTGCCGATTTGCTGGTACTTATATTGGGTTTGAAGCATCTGCACGGCGCATCTCTCCTTGCTTTGTAACATGTCTGCTTAGAAATGTTCAATCCAGGAGTCTCTAAAGCTGAATGGCTCTAATGGTGGGCTAAGTGGAATAGAGCATAGAGAGGAGTGACATGCCGATTTTAGTTTCGGGAACGTTGACTTGCCGAAGTTGCCGTAGTCGGCACTTTTACACCCACGTCACCACACCAGTCACCCCAGCGCAGAGTAACTCAGAAATTTCTAGCATTTGCACGAATGCTTAGGGTAGCATAACAGAGCAACGAAAACTTCTCTATCTCGACTGTCAAGCGCAACTTGCTGCGTGGAAAACCATACTGTCGCGGCATGTTAGGAGCGCTAGTATCGGCATCTCTCCCTACCCCGAATCTAAGGCAACAAATGAAATCCATTATTACCCGAGCTCTTGACCGCACATCCTCCTGCATGGAGTATACGGTGTACGCGGATTGGAGTGGAAACCTGTGTCTGTGCTCGAGCTTCTGAGTCGTAACTCAATTCCTCTACAAGTTCAGGAACTTGAGTTATCAGCAGTAATAACATTTTCGTGGTATAGCAGTTTGAATGCACATTACGAGGCCACTATAGTAAGACATTGCAACTGCCGGGAGACCTATACATCATTCAAGAGTTGAGATTTTTTCGAGCCAACAATAACCATAGTGTTGTTTCCATCAGCTTCATGAGCCGTGTGTTACAAGCTAAAAATCTCAGGGGTTATAATGCCGCTCCCACGTCACTGAGTGCTGGATTGATTTGTAAGTAGGAGGAGATCAAAGGGCGCCCCGTCGATTTATCAGCAAACACGCAAATCTTGTTGTACAAATGGCACAAATCCTGGAGCCAAGACTTTAAATGCAGCAGCTAGACTTTGTGTAGGGTTCGGCCATTCGTATGGCAAGTGATGCCACCGCTTCCTCCATCACCTTCGACTCCTATCAATGTTTCTCATCTATCCTCCGCTGCAGAAGCACCTACAGAGAAATATCTCGTAGAAACTATCCTAACCGACAATAAAAACGAACCCGAGTCTGACGGAAATACGCTCACAAGGACTAAAGCATTTGTGCAGCCCAAACATCCGAAAGTAACATCGACGAAAATGAGCGCCGTCCGAATCGACCTTCAAGCCAAAACCTGCATAACGCGCAGTCTCATCGATCGATTGCGAGTAGCGGCGGTTCTACATACTGTGATGAAGAGAATCAGACAACCGACGATGGGTATGAAGTGACGTGGGACACGTTACCGGAATCAAAGGCTTCGGAAGCTGTTCAAAACCCGCGCACCTGGAACAAAGCTAGGAGATGGCTCATTGTGCTCATTGTATCAACGAGCTCACTCTGCGTGTAAGTAATGTCTTGGAAAACTTTGCGTTCCGAAACCCATGCCCTTCTCCTCGGCATATGGCGAACTGGAACATTAGGGAATTAGAGGCTGATAGATTATCAATAGGACCTGTGCTTCGTCTATCTACTCGAGCACTTACAGCGCCATCGTCCCCCAGTTCAACATCATCCGAATCGTACTCGTGTTAGGTTTATCGCTCTTTGTTGCAGGCTTAGGATGCGGTCCTATGATCCTAAGCCCTTTGTCTGAAGTAAGTACCCTTGCATCTAAATAGTCCATCAGTGTGTTACTAACAAGCAAACAGTTTTATGGCCGCCGACCTATCTACATCCTTTCATACAGCAGCTCTCGGGCCCGATGATGATATACACGGCATCGCCTTTTGTTGGGTAAGCTCCTCTCCTAAGAATGATACACAGACTTACTGACGGATTACGCCGATAGAACAGAACTTGGACCACTTGTAGGCGGCTTTATCAATCAGTACGCAGATTGGCGTTGGACATACTACGCATTGCTCATCTGGAGCGTAGTGCAACTTGCACTGACCATTTTTCTTGTGCTTGAGACATATCATTCAGTACTGCTCCACCGCAAGGCAGAACAACTTCGAAAAGAAATAGGGTATGAGGCTTGGAAGGCACCAATTGAAAATGACACAAAGTTTGTCCAGCAGACGTTGTCTCTGTCGTTTATTCGGCCTTTCCAATTACTTATTTTCGAGCCGATGGTAAGAACTTCCAGAAGAAACATCTCCATCACATACTCACTGTCGAAACAACACTGTCTTAACCTTTGCATCCTGTGCGCTATCCTGTTGGGCATCTTGTATCTCTTTTTCGGCGCCTTCCCCTTGGTCTTTAAAAACAACCACGGTTTCACGCTGTCACAAGTTGGCTTGGCCTTTCTTGGGCTTTTGGTCGGCATGGTGCTTGGTATTCTTTCCGATATATTTTGGCGAAAGAACTTTACACGGCTTGTGCGAAAGCGAGAAGCTCTAGGAGGCGAGCCAAGTGGATCGGAGCCGGAGTTTAGACTTCCGCCCACAGTTTTGGGCGCTGTTATTGTGCCTTTCGCTTTGTTCGGTAAGTTTCAGAAGTGTTTGTCTGGGCTTTTGCTGATTTCGCTGCTCAAAGGGTTTGGTTGGACAACATATTCAAAAGCAAGTGATTACGGTTCTACTTGTGAGGCTTGGTAGGAAAAATGCTAACTTGCTTTACATAGGTTCACTGGATAGGTATGGCTTCAGCAGAGGCCCTCTTTTCGCGCCGATGGAAAAACTAACAGTTGCAGCACCGGTTATAATTTCGGGTCTTTTTGGTAGAGGGTAAGACAATTTACCTAATCGTGTATAATAATTATACTAACTCTAATCTCAGTATCGTCTTAATATATTCTGGGGTCTTCACCTTCCTTATCAACTGCGCAAGTGCAGTGCGATTCCCTGCTAATTATACTAAGAAGGCTGAAAATGCAGTATCCGCTATATGCTGCAAGTGCATTAGCAGCAAACAGCTTCGCAAGGTCCAGTTTTGCAGCGGCGTTTCCTTTGTTTGGAGTACAGATGTACAGCAGTAAGCCCACCCCGGACCAAGACTACTAAACAGGGCCAGTGAATAAAAGCGGCTGATACGAATACCTCTTGACAGAATTAGGATATCAGTGGGGAACGTCGTTGTTGGCTTTTTTAGCCTTGGCGATGTTACCGTAAGATACGCTCCAATTTAAATGCAAAGCGACGCTGACATAATTGGGGCAGTTTCCCTTACATTTCCTACCGCTATGGCAAAAGGCTTAGAGCTAAGAGTCATTTTGTTTCCGTATAAGTTGTAATGGATTAGATTTTAATGTTTGTAAGTAATATCCTTAATAAATTAGTTGCTTTACGTCATCTCTAAATCCTAGTTAATGTAGGGTTTAAATCGCGCTCACTATTCCCTGCAAGTATTCTTAGAGCCTATTCTTGCTTCTATAATAAAGATTTGTCAGCTAGGATCACTCCGATAACTCTCGTTTATCAGCCTCATTATTTAGTTATTACACAACAGCCTTACCCCTGCACTACTTATTTAC